CACATACACAAAAATGTCTCCTTTTCTCCTGCATTGCTTAAAACAAAACAGATGTGGGATAAAGAGGTACAAGTACTGATATATCCTATGAAATAAAAATGAGAGCTGTCTGGAGGAAGATGTTTGTTAAGTAATAACTTTCTACTAGAAACTGTGCCAGCTGGAATCCCTGTTCTGTAAATAACTAGACATTGAAATGACAAGTGCCCTTAGATGTCAATTCTGTGTATATTCATTGGGCACCTACTATGTTCAGTGTACTCTACTTAACATGGCCATGAACACAAAGGGGAGTGAGGAGTCCCAAGTTGTTTCTAGACCAGTGGAAGCGGGAAGTAACTGTAAAACGAGGCAGGATGAGTTAGGGCCCTGACAGTGATTCACATCGCTTTATTAGCTTGAAAGGAGAAGGAAATGATTTTCTTCGCAGGGACCCAGAATGGCTCTTCAGAGGCCATTTCACATGTTTGTGAGTGTGTGCATTTCTGTTTGGGTGATTGAAGGTGGTAGGGAAGTTTTTTTGCTGTGCCATTGCTCTGTCTAGTATTTGTTCCTCTTCCTACTCCCTTCCTTTCTTAAGAAAAATATTGCTGCACATTAAATATTGCTTTTCGAAGCCTTTAATGGTGTTTCTGAGGCATCATTTAAACAGACGCCACATTTCAGAGGCAGCAGTGGTTAGCCACTGGAAACTAACCATCGGGCTTGATAAAGGGGGAATTTTATATGCTATGGTTTATGACAGAGAATGGAAAAATGCTCCAGTGAGATGGGCTGGCATTCTAAATTGGAGCACAATAATAGCAAAAAGTGCTGAAGTCAACAGACTGCTTAGAAATATGGTTGCTATTTGATGAGAGAAGCCTTTCAACGTGGCCACATACACACGTTTGCAACCACAGTCAGTTCAGTTCATCCCTAAATTTGGGACTGTGACCCTGATTGATGTCAGTGAGAGTTATGGTTGCAGAAAAGGGAGATATGGGTCATTCATGAATCTAAGGCAAGTACAAAATAGGTGTAATAAGCAACAATTATACTAGACTTACACATTATACATAACTTAGGTAGAAAACATGCCAAGGCGATGGCGCTGGTTTAAAAATTATCTTTTCCCCAAAGCCATTTCAGTACAGATTGATTGTAGTCCATACAACTTAAAGAAGATTTACAAAGGTAGAATGGGGATATGGACAATTCTTAGGAGGTGACATTTGATTTATGACTTGGCCAATGTGAAGGAAATGGCCATGAGAGCTGGAGATGAGAATTCCAAGGAAAAGCATCAGTCAGTGGAAAAGCAAAGGAAATGGATGACCTTGCACAAATTTCCTTACCTCCCTGGGCCTCATTGTCTTCATTTGTTAAACTAGAGAGTTGGACTAAGAGAGTCCTAAGGAATTTTTCAGTTCCTAAGTTCAATGAAATTAACACTAGTCAAATGGGCAACAGGGCCAAATATAGTTTTTTATGTTTTTCTTTTTTCTAGTTGTATTGAAATATAATTGACATATAACATTCTATTAGTGTAAGGTGTACAACATAATACTTTTATATATAGATATTGCAGTGTATGTTTTTAAAGATGGCAGCGCGGGGGTGGTTGAAACATTGGGAATAGGATGGAGACATGGAAAAGTACAAAATGTTGGCAAGAGAAAAAAATGTCAAATGAAACAAGATTCCAAATTCATGGGAGAGGGTGATGTTGGTGGGAACACTTCTTTCCCACATCTGATGTTCCCTTTCCTGTTTCCTTCTTAATTACTGTAACATTCCTCGGGCACTTCTACCTGCCAGGACGTAGAGCGACATTCTGGTAAATTTGGGAAGAAGGAACTGGGTGTGCTCTGCTCAGCTCAGCTCCTTAAATTTGCTTTTGGACATCAATCCTAACCACAGAGGGCTGTTGTCCTTACTTCTCCCTCTGCCTTACCTAGAGGGTACCTCCTGTCTGGGAGCTTTGACCTGAGCCAGCATTGCCCATGACCCTACAGATAAATCTATCGAATTTGGGGCTTCGGTTTTCAGGTGTCTTTGGCTCCCACGCTAAACCATATCACTTAGTTTAGCCTTCATCAGTAAACCTGGTGATATTTTGGTCTCTCTCCTTATCTCATTTCTCAGTATGATTAGAATTCGGAAGGTGAAGAAGAGTGCTATTTATTTGGCCCTCTCACACCCCAAAAGCTGGGATTCCAGGGGAGGGGAACTAGCTTTGGTGAGAAGAGCTATTGTTTCCTCTGAATCAGCAGAAAGCAATAGATGTGCAGAACTAGAGATCTTTGAGGCATGATGGAGAGTCAGAGATTCAAAATCATCTCAGTAAAGTAGGAGGCCAGATAATTATCTGAGAATGATTCAGCAGGCATGGAATTGGAAAATTAAAAGAAGAAAAGATTTAGAATTGCATCTATGGGGAATATAATCAAGAATCCACTGAAGAGGACCAAAGGATTGCCAGTTAGGATAGCAAACAAGACAATGTTGACAGGCATGGATAGATAGAACTCAAAGGTAAGCTTGTTCTTTGCCACTAGGGACAGAGTGGTGAAAACTGCTCTATGGAATATATTTTATTCTTAAGTTATATTAATTTTCAGAAATAAATGAAGGAATCTGTTAGGGTTGAACAATGAATGGTTATGTTAGTACTATTACAAATGCTAAACCATACTTCTGTAAATATGATAGTTTAGATAGCTACTAAGTTAATCCTATCTCAGCTGATTCAGATTTTCCTTTTGTGTTTGTGTGTGTATGTGTGTGTGTATGTGTGTGTGTGTGTGTGTGTGTGTGTGTGTATTCAGGATTTCTATTTTATTGAGCATTTTTTAAAGAGTTCAATCAACAAAATACTACATGGTAGCAGCCCCAAATACCAGCAGGATGAATTTTTAACATCCATGTTTTTCATTACATAGGCATAGCCAATGGCTTTATTGAAGGCTAGAGGCCCGGTGCACTCAGGGGGTGAGGGGGTCCCTCAGCCTGGCCTGTGCCCTCATGCAGTCTGGGAGCCCCGTGATCGATGGCCCAGCAGGGGGAGGCTCAGCTCATCCGCCACAGCAGCACCGGCTAGGGGGGTCTGGGCCTCCTTCTGCGGGGCGATCATGGGGCAATGGCGGGGCTCCTGACCAATCGCATTGCACCTGCCTTGGCTGGCCTGGCACCAGTGCTTGTCATTGTGTGGTCGTCCAGAGAGTTGTTCTGCTGTTTGGCCGTTCGCCTGACTTGCATATTACGCTTTTATTATTATAGATTATTATTCTTTGGGTCACAAGTTCAGTCGCTTTCATGAAGCAAAGAAAAAACACTCTGGCCTACTTCCTTTGCCTATTGACTTTTCAGGACCAAGGGAAGTACCAGCTTTTCCATGAAGTAATCTCAGATTTTTCTTTGCATCTCTGATTTCTCTCAATTTCTATTACTCCTAAAAGTCAAAATGTATGTTAATATGTACAGTTTGGTAGGGAGAGGAATAGCAGGGAGCAGGGTGGGGTTTTGGGAGGGGATTGCACTTGAATTGGTTGTGGAGGGAGAATAGAATTTGGCAGGTGGATATGGGAGGTGGAAGCCAGGAGCACTCCAGTTATGGCACATTGCTTAGCCCAGGAAGCAAGGAGGTGTGGGATCCTCTTCAGGGAGCACTGTGTCGAACAGGCCCTTGGCTACAGGTCAAGGATGCAAAAGAAGTGTGGTCTCCATGACCGGAAAAATCGCATGAAAACAGATTGTGCAAGGCTGCAGGAAGCCAGATCTTTTAAGGCTGGGCGAGATTTTCATGAGGGAATGGCCTGTGGAGAGGTGGACAATGAAAAGTCAAAGGCGTTGATTACTGGAATGAGATTCTGGAGGGAAGGGAAATAAGAGTCTAGTAGACATGAAGAAGGTCAGAAGGGAAGTGAGGAGGAGTTAAACAGAATAAACAAGGCAAGGCTCAATTTTACTTGAAAAGTCAAGCAAGTAATTTTTGTAGTTGATAAAAAAATACCTCCTGATATTTATAAATTATTTTAAATATACCTACTCTGCTAGAGTTTTTACTTATTTTTCCACTTTTGGTAAAAGAATAATAATAAACAGCATATGCTGAAACAAATTAGGTACACAACAGGGACTGAAATAATTTCAAATTTTTTAACTGGATTGCTATAATAAAATAAGAATACATTTTGATACAGAACTTTTATGAAGAACTTGGGCATTTTATTGCAACATCTGTTTCTACATTTTAATTTCTCTCCTTCCTTTTTTATAGGTATTTGCATACTTTTTTTTTCAAATGAGAAGACCTTTTTGTTTGCCACAAGAAGGCTATTCTCCAGAATGTTAATGGGTTTTCAGCTATTAAGATGTAATGATATACCTTGAGTATTTAACTATAAATTTGAAAAATCTCCATGAACAATCTCAGAGGAATACTTAGAATGCACTCCTGGTAAATTGGCTCATTTTCCTGTAATTTACTGGAAGTGCTGATATGAGAGTGGTCCTAATGTGAAAAGTACATTAATCCCTGGAGTTGCATTATATGTATTAAATTATTACTCTCAAAGAGTAAAATGTATGAGGCCATTTAGCCTTCATTCACTTTTGTTACTTAGAATCACAGCAGAGAAACAATCACTTATCTTTTGATGCACAAAATTAGAAATGATACATTTAATATATTTTAAAACAAGAGGTACAGTGATGCTCAGTTATGCTTTTGCATAACAATTGCTCTTTTATTACAAAACAAGGACTATTCAAGTCTGGAGCAGGATTCTTCTGGCTCTGTGGAAGCCCCTTCCATTCCATTGGTAATTGGAATATTTTTAGAAACCCATAGTGCAGCTTTCTTTGATGCCAGTCACAAAGATTCATCAGCCTGCTTGCCATGAGCTTCTGCCACATTGGGGGATCATTGAAGAAGGTGGTCATTTTGAAGGAGCAGTGGCTACAGGAGCATTTAGGGTCTCGGAATTCTGTCTAATTGTGTTTTTCTTCTTTGGCAGGGGACTGAAGGCTGTGGAACCATAAATTATGAATCGGTGTTTTGTGTGGTTTTTTTGGACAGACAGCCGTTTACAATTCCGAATGAGTAAGGCAGATAGGAAGCCCCTTCTGAGAGTTTAACAAAGCTCTCAACAACCCACACCATGGACATAAAGCTGGACCCTTCTCGAGATGACCTGCCTCTCATGGCCAACACCAGCCACATACTTGTGAAGCACTATGTACTGGATTTAGATGTGGATTTTGAAAGTCAAATCATCGATGGCACCTTAGTGCTTTTCTTGGAGTCTGGAAACAGATCCAGGAAGAAGAGTGGTTCCACCGAGGAAGCCTGCCGATCAGAGTCAAACGAAGCCTGCGAATTTAGGAAGCCGGAACCCTGCCACGTTCCTGTGGCAGATACAAGGACCTCCTTGTCTCAAATGGGATACAGTGATTTTGCAATTTGTGGTAAAGGTGAAAGAGATACTTCTGGTAAAGATGGTAACCATGACAACCAGGAACAGACTTATGGGATTTCTAGCTCGAAGCACTGCTGTGACACAGGGAATCATGGGAGTGAGGATTTTTTGCTGGTGTTGGACTGCTGTGATTTATCTGTGTTAAGGGTTGAGGAGGTGGATGTTGCTGCTGTGCCAGGTATTGAAAAATTTACAAGGTCTCCCAAGCTCACGGTTGTTTCTGAGCTCAGGAATCAGATTGTACGTGAACTTGTGGCTCTGCCTGCAGATCATTGGAGGGAGCAGTTAGACTATTATGCTCGGTGCAGCCTGGCTCCTGGCTGTGGGGAACTCCTGTTTGACACTGACACGTGGAGCTTGCAGATCAGGAAGACAGGGGCTCAGACAGCTACGGCTTTTCCTCATGCCATAAGGATACGGTACAGAACCAAACCCCAGGGGCGATCAGTCACATGGACCTCAGACCAGAGTGGCAGGTAGGTATCGGGTACCCCGCAGCCCCTGCCTGTTGATCTCCTGTGCTGGGAGATGAGCCTTTGCAGGAGCGCTCTCAGACAGGGGACCAACTCTGCCAAAGATTGCCTCTCCATCTGGGGCATCGCCCAGTCAGCCTCCAGTCCTTAGACCCACAGCGAAGCAGGTAAATTCCCAAGCATGCTCAGCTCTTAATAGGATTACTTCCCTTCAGTCAGGGCGAAGAGCTTACTGTATTAAGTGCCCGTATTTCTGAGTTAGGAGAATTAAAAGGCAAGCCTCATGATTACATCCCCAGCCTCACGCTCTGTTAAGATCTCTGCTGGCGACTCCCGGGGCTGTGGATGGGAGTGGTGCGTGTCTCTGAGTACAGACTTTCTCACAGCTCCCGAGTTCCCCTGAGGGAGTGGACCGCTGCCAAGCTGGGTCAGCGTGAAGTGCCTCCCAACAGCCAGCTCTGCTTTGTGACTTGCTTACGGCACCTGTCTCTGGGCAGCTCTGCCTCCCGGACTTTATATGCGAACCTCCCACGTCTTCAAACGGTCTGTTTGTGAGGGTGTGACAGTCCTGCTGACAGTGCACACTCACCTGGGCCGTGAATCGTAGTTGTGAAACCCGGGAGACCCTGGATTTAGTGTGGGGAGAAGACACTGACAGGCAGCGATTTCCAGGGGCTGTATTTGGGTTAGGGAGCCGTTTGCTCTGTTCTTTTTGCCCTTCCTCCAACAGTTGTTCAGGATTTTGAGAATGAGAATTTTAAAATCAGACTTTATAGAGCCCTCATTATTTTAACTGTTTCTTTGTGCTAACGCACTACACATCGATATGGTAGTTCCTGCAGAGCGAGGCTGGGGGACATTGGTCTCCGTGAGCTTGTTTAAGCGCCTCTTTTGTAGCATTGGACTCCCCTCATGGAGACAGTGGTCTCGGTAAACTGCTTACATCTCTCTCCAGCCACCCCCCAAAAAGCCTTTTAGATTTTTTTAAAGCATCAGTTTGACTTTGAGCTCTAATTATCCCATTCCTTGCCTCTAATCTTGCCTCCCGCTCTGGTCTCCTGCCCCTGCTTGGAATGAGTTCACTTCCTGTCTTATTTCTGCGGGAGTCTGAGGCAGCCTTTGGGAAATTGCAGGGTTGGTACAAACTTACATCAGTACAAAGCATAGTGATTTATTTGTAGAATAACTTATTGGATATCCTTGGGAGACTAGGAGGGGAAAGAAACAGGTGTTCTTATTGTAACTTCAAAGTTGTTTTGAACTTACTAAGGATGGGTTTTCAGTAAGATTTAACTATATTGTCTCTGAATACTTAACTAGGAAATTGTAGTTTTTATATTCACAGATACTATTTTTGGAATTGAATAATGGGGAATAAGAAACTATTGACATTATTGGGAAGAAATACTCATTAATGGCCTCAAACATGTCTGTCTGCTCAGTGCTCACTGCAAAGAGAGTAGACTTGTGAATTGCATTACATTTAAAGTGTTGACTAGGAATGAATAAATGATGGTTTCCATAAGAAACTAAAGAGGTCCTTGGGCACAGTTTGCTCCTGCAAAGGCTGACTTGGTGATTGATTCTTGATAAATTCTGATAATTTAATAAAATGCATGATCACAGCAGGAGTTTAAACTGTATCCTTGGAAGTTTGTGGTTATATTTTAGTACAGACATGGCATTTATGCAGTTGTACAAGGATAATAAGTTGTTTTGTGTGTTTTTAAATCCTCAAAATATGTTTTTTCTCCCCCTTTTTTTTGGGGGGGGGGAGGATTTTATTTAAGATTATCTTCCATGAACAGCCACCAAACCTTTGTAAATTCTCCCACATGCTTAAGAATAAATCTAGGTATATACTGATAATTTTGTATACTTTAAGGACTTCAAAATGCCCAAAGGATCTCAAATTGCTAGACAGAAATAATTCCTTAGTGATATGAGTGAATAGTAATTATCAGGGTTGAAATGCTTTATGAATATAATTGTGTGAAAATATAAAATTTCACAATTATGTGAAAAATATAACTGGGTAGAGCTTATTTCCTTTAATTAAAACTTAAATAGTTGTTACATTTTTACCGCTGAATGCAGAATACTATCAGTGTACCTATTATAAATTCTTAGTCCTAGATGAGAAACTTTTTATTCTCATTTTACAAGTAGGAAAATTGAATAAACTTACTGAAAGCTCCTAGAAAAATCCATGTCTAATTGTAAAAAAGAGCTATATTTCTTACATTTGATCTTTACTGTGTCCCTTACTGTATGCAAAGATTTCAGTACATTTAAAAAATAAATGAATTGTGGTAATTTTCATAAATTTCTCTTTTAAGCCTATTTTAGACAGAAACTTAAGTAACCTCTAAATTGGTTCGCTTCCCTTCAAGTTCCATCAGGGGCTTCTCCCCTTCTTACCCCCACCACACCCCTTGTCCAGAATAAACTCATGTTGTTTTATTCTATCTAAATAAATAATCACTTAGGAGGTCAGAGGAACCCAGGGTGGAATACAAAATGTGACCAAACAGTCTAATTATATGAAAGTGTGTGAAACAACCTCCCTGAAGGGGTAGGGGTAAAGGACACTGACCTAAATAACTTTGGAAACGTGTGGAGTCTATAATACTAAAGGCAAAGGAAACTGCACACAATACCGCAGTTGGTAAAGTTGTTTCCCATGGGTCTACAGTTTAACAATTTTGGTATCACTATACCTGTATGCTAGAATTGAACAATTAAGTAAATGAATGGCAGGTGGTGGGAGCTAGCCGTCTCACTGTTGAAGTGCAAGGTTACAGATGAGGAAGGGGAAGTGGCTAGAAAAATGCACGTGGAAATGGATTAGAACTAGAGACATCATTATGAACTCATATTTAATACACTAGTAGCTATGGATGGTTGCACATGGAAATAAGTATAGAGATGGTGTTTCCAAGGGTTTGCATACACACATATTTCCTTGCTTGTCAGTTAGAAAGGTTAGGAACATGAACACACACTAGATTCCCGATCTTGGTTTCTACGGCCATTCTCCAATAAAGAAGCCAGGGCTTCTTGGAGAAATGGGTAGGACCTGGGACAAGAAATATACAAGATGAGCCTGGAGCATCTTGTAGGGCCAGAACATAAGGAAATGCTCAAACAGCAGCTACAGCCTGCAACTTGGGTGCACGTCAGAGGTCCAGGGAGCCATGTGAAAGAACGCCTAATGGCCAGCGCTGGACAACAAAGTAAAGAAAATAGATTTGGATAATAATGTAAAGTATAAAATAAATATCTGAGCCCATACTGATAATATATATATGTATATCCTATCTAATAAAAGAGAAACATGGTAATTAGCATACGACCGCTACCCTTTGCATTGGCTAATCAGGGCAATATGCAAATTAACTGCCAGCCAAGATGGCGGCCAGCAGCCAGGCAGCTTGAAACTAACATGAGGCTTGTTGCTTCAGTGACGGAGGACTCCAACGTTCCCCGCTGCTGCAGGCCTCTGAGCTGCAACTCTAAGCAACTATGTTACAAATATAGAAGCTAAACAAAACCCCAGAAACCTGCTTTAGTCTCCCGGGCTTCAGCCAGCAGGATCGCAACATTGTGTCAAATACATAAGGTAAACAAAGGCCAGAAACCTGCTTTCAGCAGCGGAGGCCTAAGAGCTGGAACCAAGCCTCATAGCTAAAGCTGGCCCAGAATAAAAAAAGAAAAAAAGGAGCAGTTGGGAGCTTCAGTCACCCGCCAGCCTGAAAACAGCCCTCAGCCCCTCACCCAGACTGGCCAGGCACCCCAGTGGGGACCCCCACCCTGATCCAGGACACCCTTCAGGGCAAACCAGCCGGCCCCCAGCCGTGCACCAGGCCTCTATCCTATATAGTAAAAGGGTAATATGCCTCCCGGCACCGGGATCAGTGTGACAGGGGGCAGTGCCCAAACCCCCTGATCACCCTGCGGCTCTGTGTGTGACAGGGGGTGGGGCCACAACCTCCCTATCCGCCCTGCTCTGTTCGTGAGAGGGGAAGGTGCCCCAACCCCCTGATCAGCCCTGCTCTGTGCGTGACAGGGGGGAGCTCCCCAACCCCCTGATTGGCCCTGCTCTGTGCGTGACAGGGGTGGCGCCGCAACCTCCCCATCGACCCTGCCTTGAGTGTGACAGGGGGTGGTGCCCCAACCCCCTAATCGGCCCTACCCTGAGCGTGACTGAGGGTGGCATCGCAACCTCCCAATCCGCCCTGCTCTGTGCATGACAGGGGGCGGCGCCCCAACTCCCCAGTCGGCCCTGCTCTGAGCCCGACCAGGGGCTGCACCTAGGGATTGGGCCTGCCCACTGCCACCCGGGAGCAGGCCTAAGCCAGCAGGTTGTTATCTCCCTAGGGGTCCCAGACTGCGAGAGGGCACAGGCTGGGCTGAGGGACCCCTCCTCCCCCCGAGTGCACAAATTTTTGTGCACCGGGCCTCTAACATATATATATATACACACACACACATATATATATATACACACACACATATATATATATAAACAAATGGAGGAGAATGGACAAATCCATGGTGCAGAAGTCCAAGTTCTGTAGATACTCTGTCCTCAAGGAAGTGAGGCATCACTCCTCTCTCCTTACGTGTGGCCTACACATAGTGACTTCTTTCCCAAGAGGACAGTATGGAGAGGGGTGTGTGTGTGTGTGCAATTTTACATTGGAGAAACTTGACAAGCAGCACCTCAGTGAGGAGATGAAGGGTAACATCAACAGTGATAAGTAATGTTGATAGTATGTACCCTTGGTGTGATGTGATGAGAAGGGCAGCATTGTGATCTTCTTCCTCTAAAGCCATAACTCCAGTCTAACCAAGAGGAAAACATCAGATAAATCCCAATGGTGGGACATTCAACAAAATACCTTGCCAGTACTCCTCAAAACTCAGGTCAACATAAAGAAAGTCTTAAGAAGCCCACCACCTAAGGAGCTATGATGATTAAAGGTAATGTAGTATCCTGG